ACGGGATCGGGCATTTTAACAAATGAATAAATAAAAATATAATATATTTATTTGTTTATATCTTCTGTTTCTTTCCTAAAGGTATCATTTCCATTTCTTGCAAATTTCTTCTAAACTTCTTATAAAATGTAAGTACATCTGTATGGGCCCATACTTGCTGACTATTAAAATCTAAGACCCTCAAAGATTGTAAACTTTGTGCCCTAGAAAGAGCTACGTATGACTGGCCAGCATTAAAAACCCTTGAGAGACACATTTCAACACAATCTAAAGTTAAACCCTGACTTTTATGGATAGAAAAAGCCCATGCCAATTTTAATGGAATTTGTTTTCTATGAACTATAGTTCCTAGATTTGTTTTTATGCTCCACTTTTCTAGCTTTGCATGATATTGAATACCTGATTTAAATTGAATTACTGGAACACTTTGATCAAATTTAATTACTACACCCCTTGCCCCATTTACTAAGCCATTGGAAATATTTATATTCTTCAATAACATTACTTGAGCTCCTACTTTTAATACTAGTTTATCAGGAACAGTCAATTGTTGATTCATTGTTACAGTCATTGATGGATCAGAATCTTGCGCTGTAAATACTTTGGATTCACCTTTTAATTCATTTAGTTGAAACTCGTTAATGTCTTCAGCTTCATTCACGTGAGAACAAAGTCTAGTTGCTAAAATACCATTACCTTCTATTTTTTGTTTAGCAGTTGCTTTAAGAGTCTCAGCTATTTCATCTGTCACTCTACCTATTCTGATACTATTTAAAATTTTTATAAATTCGGAATCTGTTTGTCTATGAACAATTCGTAATTCATAATTGAAATGCACACACTTATCCCATACGCTACTTTGAAAACAGAATTTTGCAGTATTGTCTTTTGAGACAGGTGGTAACTGGAAAAAGTCTCCGCATAATATCAATTGAATTCCACCAAATGGTCGGTCATTTCTACGAATATGCCTAGCAACAGCTTCAACTTTATCGAAGTAATCTGCATCTATCATAGAAATTTCATCTATTATTAAATGTTTCGTTTTCCGCCACAAAGAAGCTTTGCGAGATGCCATTTGATAGCATCTATCCAAATTTGCAGTTCCTAATCCTATTCCCGCAAATTGATGTAATGTTATACCGCCTATGTGACACGCTGCTACTCCAGTACTTGCTGTAGCCATGGTGACATCAGGAGGAAGAGCGGATATTATCCTTCTCAGTAGAAACGATTTCCCAGTACCCGCACTACCAGTGAAGAATATATTTTTACCACTAAGCACTGCATCCACAATTCTGCTTTGTTCTTCCGTCATATTTGTCGTTGTTGGATTTTCATATAGTTTCTTTGCAACTGGATGACTTGCTGCATTTTCGTCCACCCTTTTCCTTTTTTTACTCGTGCTAGGAGACGGTGTTGTAATTGTTGCACGTGACACGCTGAGAGCTTTCTGCTTAGCTTTATTTATTTCAGTACTCGTCGCGGGACTGATTTCTTCATGACCACCAAATTGCTTATTGGAAAGCAGTTTTTCCTTTAATGTTTTCTTCATTGTTTCTTCTGACTGTCCAGAAATCTTAATGTACATGGTTTTCAAGAAATTGATTAGCTGAGCTGTCGGTGCATTTGATAGCAGCATCGTTGCATTATCTTCTTTAAATTTGATAGAAGCTTTTCCATCAGTCATAAATTTATTGAAAACGGATATAGATTTCAGGGATAACTTCGTCGCATGGTTTGACTTTTCTGCACGTACTTCGATGAACATTTCACGAAAATTATTTCGGATCAAACGTAGAATCGCTGTACGATGATTTAGCTTTCTCAGCATGATACCTTGAGAGTTCGTCCATTCTATTGTAATAGAACACGTTAGAGAACAATTGTCTTGATCCATGTTTATTTGCAAGATGTATTATGGACGACTAATTGTAAAAAATATAACTATTGTGTATTAAAAACTTTTCGTAAATCTATCAACACCATGCACATCATACTTGGCCATGTTGACGCGACATTTACGCGCCAAATCAGCGAGGAGAGATTACTAAAGAGTGGCAATGCCTGTGTTAACGCGCGGCCCCAAAAATGGGCACGGGAGGGCTTGAACCGGCAAGGTAGATTCATGAAATCCCACAGAATGACTGCTTCGGCGCGTACCGACGTTCAGACTCACCGATGCCGGTGCCGATGTTTTTTCCCAGCACGATAGTAACTGTAGAACGCTGACATTATCAACTTTATACTTGATTCGAGATTATTACTTCGGAAATAGATTAGCTACTATTTTCAAGTTTTATCACACTTGTATTACTTTATTTTCATTAGTGTACACCATATTTTGC